GTGTCAAAAAGCCTCCCAACCACGAATCAGATAGGTGAAACCTATTCAATCCACCTACGTCCACAACCAGCATGGCTGTTTTCAGCACGAACCGAAGCTTTTCCAGCCCTCATGCTCCCATCAGGTTAGGTTACAGAGTTGCACCACCTTGCTCCAACACCGGCCAGCATTGCTCCAGTTACGACCCCCGATGACCTCTGAGACTGCCCCCGCAAACAGCCCCCCAGATCTCTCTACCAGGCCTCACGCCCCCACTAAGCTAGGTCACAGAGTTGCGCCACCTGGCTCCGGCTCCGGCCAGCGTTGCTCCAGCGTCGGTCTTCGAGGGCCACCGAATTTTCGACCACCCTTCACAGGATCACAGATGACTTGCCAGATCGCACCTATTCCTACAACCTCCTCGAGAGGCAAACCAAATGAAAAGAAAGACTGGATGTTAGAATTCCTCAAGAGAGATCACCCCTCCCTCTCCCTACCCCTCCCCCCTCAGCCCTACACTACCTCTGCCGAGGCGACTCACCCACTCTCCCTCGGCCCCAATATAGGCCCAACCCTCTACCCCCCTTTCCCCAGGAGCACGCAGTTCCTACGTAAAGCATGGCCCCAGCCACCCCTTGCCCACTTCTGCCTCCGCTGGGACTGGCGTTAACCCACACACCAGCCCCTGCCCCAGAATAGGGCAACCCCCTATTCCGCCCCTACCCTCTTTGAGACATTCACCTCCACCTTGTGAAGTTGTGATGCCCCTGCAAGATAGAGCTCCCCCCACCCCCTTCTTACCATTCAGCCCTCCGGGACGATCCGATCCAGCCAACCACAGTTATTGATGACACACTTACCAAAATGTCCATTGCTATTTGGAAAAACAGGGCCTCTTCAAAATTATGCAATAACCCCTGAAAACACCCTACATCTTTAAGAACAACCCACTGAAGAAAGTGCAGGGCGGCAGTAAGACTATTACAATTATTCCCCTGCCCCTTGCGCCAATCAATGTTTGGCAGCTCCCACCATGTGCGCGTATCACCAATTTAAGAAAAACGAAAAACTAGTTATCAGAGAGGGTCCTCAAAATTTATAGCTATAATAGTAGAATT